GCGGCCGGCGGCGCTGTGGACGTTTGAGTGCGTTCGCGTGTCGCCGCTATTTACTCCGCGCCCGAGGCAACCGCTAACGCCGCCCCCGTGCGCCTGCCGCTGCCGAGCGGGGCCGCCCTCGGAGCCGGAGCGTACTGCGGGTTGCGTTTGCAGCGGCGCCGGGCGCTCGACCGGCAACGGCAGTAGCCCTCGCCTGGGGCGTCTATCGGAGCGGTGGAGCAAGTGCACCACTTGTGTGCGCGCTGCTGTCTCGGCGCCTCGGAAACTCGTTTGACGCTGCCGCGAGTGCTTGATGCGTGATGCCTGTCCAGAGGCGGTTCTTGCTGTACGCGCCACAGAGAGTTAAAGGGAAACTATTGTCCAGGAAAACTTCTGGTGATTAAAGCAGAGTAGAATCGATTTGATTATTTTGTAAAATTCTGTGGTAATTAAACCCGATGTTGGTTTGTGCAGAACATGTTATGATACTCTTTCAGCATGAATGTTTCAGTGTGATTGAGTTAATATCTTTAACAGACTTCAGTACACAATCTGTTGATTAATACACTTTTTTTATCAATTGTGTTGTAAGATAATAAAGTATATTTGGTACATTATGAGATAATAAAGTATGCTTTTAAGTGAAAAAATAAGATCGTATTTTGAAATAATTTATTACGAAATTTGTTAAGTAACATCGGATCTATTTGCAAAGTTGTATATTTAAATATCACTGAAGAAATCATTATATCACAAGATAGAAATTCTGATAAAGAATGCATTTGATAAAAACGGGTATGCGTGACACATTCTAAAGAATAAATGCACTTGGCATAAACATAACTGAACACTAGCTTTTAAACCAATGATAAGAAAAAAAACGCTTGTCTATAAATATTTTGGACCTCTCGTCATCATAAAACGTGTACCAAAGGATTTGTTTAAAACGTGTTATCGCCATAAAGTTTCCATTAACAGAAATGTTTGTATTACTTTATCTCTCTTTGGACGCCTTTCCCCTCGTTCCGGCGCCGCCTCCTTCACTTAGACTTCCCCGTTTGGAGCGCGAGTCCTGCCAATACCTAGACTCCGGAGGCCGCGGCGGTCCCTCGAAGATTTCTCCGCCTCCCCCCCCCCCCCCCCAGCGGATTCAATTCAAGTCCAGCGCACTACGAGCCCAGTGAAAGCGGGAGCGAAAGGTAATGCAAATTGTATTAATCCCCGAGGTGGTATATTTTCCTTGCCGGTTTCCCGGCCCTGCGCTCTTGCACCCACAATTCCCCGCTGTACTGCAGACCGCGCCTCCGCCGCCGCCGCCACCCGGGACTGCCTTGTCCCGAGGCGCCCCGCCGCCGCCTCCACCGCCTACGTCGCCCCGCCGCCGCAACCCCCGCCGCACGTAAACCTGCTTGTCTGACGGTTTAAACCGAGGCGTTCCTACGCGAGGATCTGTGTTGCGTGGGAGTGCGTGGAAGTTGTGAGAGAAGTAAAGGTCAGCGTGCTACTGCATATTGACGACCTGAGTACGCCTGGGAGAGTTTCCTGAAAGGCTTAGTACATATGCGTATTCCTCCATAGAATGTCAATATGTCAAGAGATTCAAACAAATGTAACTGTTCCGTTTTATTACCGCTTTGGTATTTGGAAATTAAGCTACGCACTCATCTCCGAACATGCTTGTTCATGTAAATATAAATGTATAAGATCATCGGAAGGAATAACGATGCGCATGGTCTGAAATCCGTTTGTAAAGGAACTACGCTGTCGTTTGGCTTGCACAGATTAAAGAAACTACAAAAAACTTCCGATGAGAATAGCCGTCTATTATAATTCTCCTCCAGATTGTGGTTGGACTCGACCCATCTCTGTAGCTAAAATCGAAAATGCGTCAACGCGGGCACTCGGAGCGTAGGACCTCTGGACCTACGTGCTGAATAGGCTGCGTAGGTGGTACGGAGATCTCCCAGCCGGGCGGAGGGTGGCGACGCGGCGCGGCGCGGCGCGGCGCGGCGGGGCTCGGAGGTTCGGTGTAATCGGATCCGAAGGGCGCGGAGGTGCCGTGGCAGGGGCGGGGGTGGGGTGGGGGCGAGGGACGCGGGGCGACGCGGCGCTGGGTCCGCGCCAGGTGATGGCTCAACCCGCCCGCCCGCCCGCCCCGCCCGCCCGCCCGCCCGCCCGCCCGCCCGCCCGCCCGCCCGTCCGCCCGCCCGTCCGCCCGCCCGCGCCCGCCCGCCCGCCCGCGCCCGCCCGGCCGCGCCCGCCGCCGCCCGCGCCCGCCCGCCGCCCGCGCCCGCCCGCCCGCCCGCGCCGCCCCCCCGCCCGCGCCCGCCGCCGCCCGCGCCCGCCCGCCCGGCCCGCCCGCCCGCCGCCCGCCGCCCGCCGCCCGCCCGCGCCGCCCGCCGCCCGCCGCGCCCGCCCGCCGCCCGCCGCGCCCGCCGCCCGCCCGCCCGCGCCCGCCCGCCCGCCGCCCGCGCCCGCCGCCGCCCGCCCGCGCCCGCCCGCGCCGCCCGCGCCCGCCCGCCGCCTGCCCCGAGCGCCCGCCCGCCCCGCGCCCGCCCCCCGCGCCCGCCCGCCCCGCGCCGCCCGCCCGCCCGCCCGCGCCCGCCCGCCCGCCCGCCCGCGCCCGCCCGCCCGCCCGCCGCCCCCGCGCCCGCCCGCCCGCCCGCCCGCCGCCCGCCCGCCCCGCCCGCCCGCGCCCCGCCCGCCCGCCCGCGCCCGCCCGCGCCCGCCCGCTTCCAGGGCATGCCACCGGGGGTTCCGGTCGTGGAGGTTGCCGTAAGGCTCGCGCGCGCCACCCGCGGTCGGGGATGCACCAGCGGCTGTTTGCTGAGCACACTCGTGTGTGACTGGCTACTTCTCGTCGACTCGTGGGGTTGACTTCTAGTACTTCTTAATCTGCAAAGAGCGTGAGAGCCCTTACCAGCGTTAGGAACTTGTCACAGATATGTTTGCCAAAGTTGTGAATTTACACGTCGTGGAAAACAAATTATTATCCAAAGAAAAATAACATATTTTCACTCTAATGGTTCTCCAAGTTTTTACGCGGTATTCACCTTATGTCATGAGTAGTTTGAACTTGGTAATACTAAGAAAAACGTTTATTTTGGCTTCATTTAAAACACACACACACACACACGAAATTATACTGTAAAGTAAGAACCATCCATTTGAATTGAACATGTATTTTATCTTCGCAATATAAGTTGTTTACACATTCGATTTTTTCTGCAGAGTGGTAGTAACATCTTTAGACAGTCTCCTGTTTTCCAGCATATTCCCTACATCTCAGAAGTTTCACGATTTAAATTATATATGTGAAATACGATATACGGAGAATAACTTAGTACTTAGGCGATCTGATTCTATACGTTACTCTGAACATATATTATGGTAAGTAACTTAGCGTAGAAACTAGGTTGTTGACATAAATCAGGACTAACGGTATTAACGTGAAGTCTGCTTTGTAACGTATTACGCCCCGCTCATTACATTCATCTGTGCGACACAGCATTTGTGAAGTGGACATTTACTAAACGCATTGCAGAGACCCTGATTAAATCTGATATTAACTAGCTAGGAAACGTTATGTGCCATGTTTAGTGTAGTAGAGGTCTTCTCCTGTGTTCACTCACCACCTCGTTTTATTTCCAGAGCTTTGAAGTTTACCAACAACAAATTTCCTGATGATCAGACGATAATGGTTCTTGAAAACATTCATTTTACCATGAATATTACGACAAAACTAATCGACCCTTTCAGAGTTTTCCACAATTAAGCAATAGCCACAATAGCCAAGTATTTCAGAGCGCAGGGCAAACATTACGCACCGCTTACCGGAAAAGCATTCGCTGTAACGAAGTAATGAATACGCTATAAAAGAATATCCAATGAGTTTGCTTGCAGGCGAAGACAAGAAGCAGACGATTTAATTATTTCTTTTAGCATAAAACCCATGTGACGTGTGGCATTAACTTATAACTAAGAAATATTTTTTTAACGCCTACACTATAAATAAGCCCTCGAAACTGATAAATATACAGAGCTCTTTAAGTATATTATGACACATCACGTCTTCCTAAATATGTTTTCATTCATTCAGTTGTTATACTTATCGTAGTCATGTTTTTTCTTGCATTTGGCTTTAACGGTGAGATGAGCATTAATTCACCTTTATGAATGAAACTAAATCACGATCCCGAGATTTACGGTTCAAAATTGTTTTTAATTTAGAATTTTTAAAGAAACCCTATTACGTTTTTTTATTATTAGTTTGTTTTACTCAGTTCGTATTCTTGTTACTGCCATTGACTACCATCCTGTTTTGTCAGGATCATGACCGTCTTCTGATGTACGATGAGTTCTTAAGATAAGTTAAATTTACGTTCCTGGTTGCTTTGTTTACAACGATATCTAATTCATTATTGAAGCACACATGTTGCAATAAAAATCTCGTTCCTACACTTTAACAATTCCATCACAACACTTAGGTCTCAACTTTAGCGGATATCTCCGTTTCTTTCTGTCAGGTCAATTTGTCGAATGCGATCTTTCTCACCTGTGTCCTCACTACACGCGACGCATCCACCCCTCTGTATCCCTCCTCCTCCTCTCCTTTTTATCCCTCCTCCTCCACCCCTCCCCCTCCTCCTCCCCTTTCTACCCCTTCTCCTCCACCCCCTCCCCATCCTCCTCCCTCTCCTCCTCCCCCCTCCCTTCAATCCCTCTCCTCGTCCTCCCTCCCCTCCCCATCCCCTTCTCCTCCTCCCCTCCCCCTCCCCCTCCTCCTCCCTTTCCTTCCCCTCTGGCGCCATCAATTCCCCAGGGGGCGCAGCCTGGCGTGGCGTGGCATAGAGCGGCGCGGTGCGGTGCGGCAGCCGACCGGTCTTATTGGACCGTATTGTAGTCGGCGGCGGCGGCGGCGGTGACTGTGGCGCCCTCTGAATATTCCATGGCGAGGTATTGGGCTGTGGCTGGCCGCGCTTCGACGGGCGCCGGGTACCTGAGGTGTCGCGCGCCGAAAGATCTCGCGAGCGCTGGCGCTGGCGCTGGCGCTGGCTGCAGAAGGCCGTGTAATGCCCGTGCGCGATGGGCTGGCTACCAATCTGGCCCAAATGGCACTTGCGTAACTTCGGTTTTATGAGGTTTGCCTCCAAATGTTCTGTGGTAAAAAGGGAACATCTTCGTCCCTCTTTACGTGTAGACGTTTGAAACTTTACACTAAGTCATTTTATACAGAAGCAATTAGCATTACTGTAGCTCATTGTCATCCAATTATTAATTCAATTCCATTATAAACAGTGGTTTAAATAATTGGAGCTGCAATAATTTCTATCAGTATATTCCTATAAAATCTTACATTCTTGGGTAATAAGTTAATACGCTACTATACTCGTGTCCTCGAAATATAAATTTCGATTATCACCATTACGACACAGAGATACAACTCATAGATTAACTCATAGATACAAAAAAAGAAGAAAAGACTCCGTATTGAATTTTCCCACTTTGTACGTATCTTCTTTTATGAACAATTAACCCTGTGACGGGCCTCAACCTTACTGTTTTTTAGCCTTTTCATCTGCACGCTATGTGTATAAGACTCAACATAATTCTCTTCCACTAATACAATATAAATGTATACAGCGTCGCATACAAGTATAACATGTTTTTTAAAATTAAAATTTAATTGGATTCCTGCTGAATAACATTTCGCTGATACTATCTAAAATGTTGATTTGAATTGGTTCTAGGGTTTGCTTTATATTTTTATGGGTAGCCAACAAGAAACACATAGTGTCTCGCTGAATCCCTGATCTCTGGGGCTTCCTTTTCGTAAGATTGTCTTAAAACAGCGGAGAATAGGCGTTGTGAGAATGCGGGCTGAGCCCATTGTTTAGCTATAGGATGTAACTAGGAACAAGATGGATAATGAATGATAATACACGGACCTTAGCCCGTTGTTTATGGTTCTGCTTCGACGTTTGTTTGTAAGTACGGAATGTACTTAGCGAAGTCGAAGGAAACCTACTACTGGTCACAGCAACCAGACCTCGAGAATTCACATTGAAGAAGTGGGCGGCGTCGACTCAGTCATTCAGCTGTCGAAATCCTCGTAACATCACGTTCCTCTCTACAAACCTTCAGTAGAAAATGATATCGTCGGCACCTCAGCCTTCGACGCGCCGTCACCCGAACAGCCCAGATCCTTCTGTAGTGAATTTGTGACCATATGGTGAATTTTCCAACCAATGACAGTTGTATTCTTGCTAAACATAAGTGAATTTTCAAAATGTAACGGTTATTGGCGATGAACTAAAATGAATTACTTTTATTTTCACATTTTTTAAAACCTTAAATAGCTCACTAGGTTGATAAATAAAAGAAATAGTAATTTATATACAAACAGTCTTCTAGGTTTATTTCTCAGTCCTCGAGTTTGTGTTCACATGGCAGTGGCGCACCCAAAGAAAGAAACGTGGTTTCTTGGGCTTCAGCTCCCCCAGAAGCCAATGATAAATATTCAAACATGAAGGTTTTACTTATTTTCCAGACCAACAAACATAATTCAACATCCTAATGGCTAACAATGTAAATTTTAACTATAAATCAGCAAAATACATTTTACATCCCGCATAAATAAACATTATTTATAAGGAAACGTGACACTGGGACTACACTCGGACACACGGACTACACAAAAGGACACTGGACACTACACTCGTAGCCCTCCCCTTTCCCCAAGAGAAAAATTCTGGGGGTGCCTCTGTCATTTGTTTATTTATATACATTTAACTCCCTTTCTTCCTTACTACTTTGTCCACCACATCTGCATTACTAGTCTACATTGCTACACTGCATTGTTACACTGCACTACCACACCACTACTACACTGCATTGCTCTTCAGCGTGATGCACACATTTCACAGCTCAGAACTGGACTGCCGACGGCCGGGGCCGTGGATTTGTGCCTGACGGACGCGAGGGAGGAAGCTTCCAGAATGTTGCATCTCTCTTCTCCGGGATCCGCGAGCGCAACGAAACCAGAGATTGCGAGCTGTCTTGCTCCTGGGGTGGAGTCCGCCAGGGAAGCAGTTCTCCTTGCAATATTACTTCGTCGTCGGTTTCTGTTAAATAAGTTTGCGACTAGAGAATAGTCCGGTCTCTGAAGCCTTTTAGCAGTTCTGACTGCTAAACCGAATGTCCGATATAGTTTGATGGGGATGGAAACTTCGTAAAATGACTAGTTTCCTCGTGGCTGCTGGGAAACTACCCTGGAGTCGATATGTTGTCAAGGGGAAGGAGACGTCGCTAGCAATGATGAGTGATAGTATAAGAAGCGGCACAGCAAACATTTTACGGGAAATTAAAGGTTCTTTAAGGAAATAATTAGACTTCGAATTCATGATGATGATTGAGTATCGATGTATTATAATATAAGTGGAGGTTAATGCACATAATTGGCGGAATTTTCGTTTCAGAGAAGTTAATCCTCTAACAAAAATTTAAGAAAATTCAACAATGAAATGTCCTCCTTGCAGCAGGATGTCTATGTACGACAAACAATTAATTTATCGAGTGGGAAACATTGCGAAAACCATCTAATGCTAATGCTAATCATCTAACTAAATGTTTTTAGAAATATTTTTTCTTTCTAATAACTGTGGTTAAAAATGCTATGAGAATATTTTTACTTCATGTATTAAGGCGCCTACGTAAAATAGTTTTCAATATTAAAAGCCGCCATAATCATGCACTTTCATTGGATCCATTCCTTAGTTTGGCCTAGTGAAACACTAAGATAGAAATCTTTCTCTAACGTTCAATCTATCACGCTCTGGGATGCCAAATGATACCTTTAGTTTACTTCAATGGAGCAGGATGCTTTGATTACATTTGAATGTAATTATGCAGTTTCAATAGAGAACACACTTTAGGTTCCCTTAAGCAAACACCAATCGATGAGCCCATTCGAAACTCCGCTCTCCATTCTCCAATCTCCAGTCTCTTTCTCCTTGTTCTGGATTACATCCTGCATCCTACTTAAAACCTCGACTAAAATTTTTCAAGCTTTCACATTTTATACTTATTTTTCTATTACAAAATTTGTTTTATTCTATTTAATTAGCATGAATTAATATTAGCAAAATGTCAATCACTTCCGTGTGATTTTGTTATCGTTGGTTCCTCCAGTTTCTAAAGAGTAATTACGCCAGAACGATTTCTGCGCATAATTTCGTATTTGTAATATCCTTCTACATCATGATTTCAGACTTACTAAAAAAATATGAATAAAGTATATTCATTTATTGTGAAAAATGTTTGAAGTTTGCAAACAATTACATTCAGAAAAAAGGAGATATATTCGTTAAGATTTTTGCATTTGACTAAAACTCTTCAGCAGCAAAACTGTTGAAGGAAACTACCCAAAACGGTTCTCTTTAAAGTAACATGAACACTAATCAGAAAATATAAATACAATACTCTCACATAACACTGCCATAAAAATATTTTAACAAAACAATCTTTTAGAATACGACAATATCATAGAGTAGTATGGTAAATATACAATAAAACAGTTCCTTACTTACCTAATATTCTAACGAAATTGGGGTTCGATAATGCGAATAGCAAATATTTAATGATGTGGTGTTTCCTCGGAGCCTTTCTGTCGCATATCGTCAGCTGAGTCATAAGCAGCGACAGGGTAAATATTCAGGATGTACGCACAGAATAAGAATCGGTGTAATAACATAATCAAATATTTGCATTTGTCAGTCAGAACTGTTTAGTAGATTTAGGATTTTTTGCGTTGCAATGTAACGAATCAATAGACATCTCTCACACGGCCAGAAATTGCATTATTTTCTTCCAATTTCTGTGCGCTTTGGAAATTAGTAATATAGATAATTCTATTCTGCTTCTGATATGGCGATGCGATAACCTAAACTTTTAAGTTTCTGCAGTCGAATCGATATACAGGAATAGCATCTTCTCATGTGACTACACTTGTTAACAGACGACATAATATTAATATATATATATATATATATATATATATATAAATTTGTTACAAAATGCTGAGTAAGAAACTAGTTTAAACTATTAAACAATATCGATTTCCGTTAACTCAATCCAAACACAGACTGGGCAAAATATCAAAAACATCGTGGGTGACCGCCTATTGATCTTAGGTGTCCTCGCATATTCCTCCTACATGTACTTGCTGCACTATTCAAATATTGTTTAATATCGTTCTGTCTCAACGTCCTTGTGTCTTAATGTTTTTAACCACAATATCTTATTATTACGTATTACAATGTATATACCTTGCGTTTTCAGTACATACTTCACTGTGAAAATGTATTATTGTAACATTAGTTTGGTCTTTATCTCTTAATTAATAATTTGTATGAGATTGAAATATACTAATGGTTCATTTAATAGTATTGTTATAAAATTCTTCGTACAAACATTTCTTTCTGTCATCCAGGAATTAAATTAATAGACAAACTTAAGATTCCTATATATAGAAACAAAATTATTGTGACGAAGAACCTAGATAGAACCGCAATGAACACCAACTCTCGTCTTCCTTGACACCCGCCGAGAAATTTGAGCGGCTCGGCGACGGCAGCGCCGCTCAGCGAACCAAACAACAACTAATTTCTCGCGTGGAGCAGCGGCGCAGCGCGGCGCCCACGCCGTCGCCGTTGCCATCGCCTTCGCCGCCGCCGCCGCCGCCCTTTGCGTGGGCCGCCCCGAGGAAATTACCAGCGTAATTAGCGACGAGACGGCGGTTAATTTCGGTCTGGCAGTGACCGAGACGCCCGCGCGCTCACCCGAGCCAATCGACCCCGCGGCCCCCGGCCCACGGCGCCGCGCCACTCCGCTCTGCCCCTCTTCCCACCACTCCGCTCCTCCCCGCTCCGCCTCACTCCGCTCCGTCCCATCCCTCCTCGCCCACC